CCATCCCATCCCATCCCATCCCATCCCATCCCATCCCATCCCATCCCCTATCACACCATGCCATGCCTTACCACACCATACTGTACCATACCATACCATACCATACCATACCATACCACGCCATGCCATGCCATGCCATGCCATGCCATGCCATGCCTTACCATGCCATGGCACACCTCACCATACCATATCACGCCACACCATGCCATAGCACCCTTTGGCCCTTCCTGTTTGTGCACTGATGCATTTTATCCCCTGCAACCCTTCCCCTTTTGCCTGTCCCATCCCCAGCCCAAAGCCCCCATGCTCCTGCCATGCACAAAGAACAGCAAGATGCTCATTGCACAGTTATTTAAAACAACAGACGATGCCTGAACCAGTGTTAAGAAAAAAAAATCCTAATAGTAATTTAATGCAATGTTTGGTATAATTGTCTTGAAGGAGAGATCTCATTTATTTTTCCAATTAAAGCTGATTACATTGGGGGGGGGAAGAAAAAGGGAAGTGAAGATGCTGCGTGCGCTGCTCATCTTATCACTGCAGAACTAACAGTGGCTTTTACAAATAAATTCTTCTCGTAAATATAAGTTCCTCTTATGAAAAAAAGAACTGAAAATCAAGGGCAGCTCAGCAGGAAGGCTGAAGTGAAAGGCCAGAGTCAACTGGCATCATGTTCCAAGGTTGTTTTAATAATAATAAAAAGGAAAAATAACATTTTGGGGTTGTGAATTCCATGACTGGGGGAGGGTTCAAAAGGAAGGGAAAGCCCTGGTGGTGAGAAGGAGCCTCTGTGAGGCAGCAGATGGGGACTTTTCTGCCTTGCTGCTATTCTGGGTGAAGTTTGGAGGGGAGAGGAAAGTTTCTGCTCTGCCAACTGCTGCCCAAGTGCTGCAGAGCACCGACAGCACTCATAACATTAAGAGATACACAGCAGTGCTGGCACAGGTGGAGCCAGGCTCAGCTTTGTGGGTTCCAAAGCCCATTTCCTTTGCCCAGCTCATAGGATTCCATTTCCTCAGCACAAACCCTTTTCCCCACATCTGGCAGGGGCCCGAGCACAGCTGTGTCCTGAAAGTATGGATGCAGCCATGTTTAAGATGCAGCAGTGTGGGTGAGCCTGCACAGCGTGAAGCTCGGGTGCCCACGCTGTGTGGCAAAGGGTTAATAGCTAATTACTGGAGCAAAATGAGACGCCTTTGCATAAGGTTCAAAATATATGCGCTTGCAAATCAGGGCTGGCAGACTATTTATGATTATTTTGTTAATGTTTCTCCTGTAACAAGCACAATTTCCTGGTGATTAATGGCTGCTTCATCTCCCGGAATTGCATTTATTTTATTTTATTTTATTTTATTTTATTTTATTTTATTTTATTTTATTTTATTTTTTGGGGGGAGAGGAGCACAGAAATTTGCATGAGAGGGGTTTGGGATGAGGATGGGGCCGAGGTGGTGGCACAGGCACGGCTCTGCCAGGAGCTCAGCGATGCTCCCAGCTCCCCTTTGCCTTTTCCTGCTTAAAACCAATGAGCAAAGGTTTGTCTCACCCTGATTCAGGTTGGTCACTCGACCAATGTTGTTCATGGTGTTCATGGCTGGAAAGCAAAATGAGGGCTGGGTTTGGCTGTGCACATCTGGGGGATGCTTGGCCCACAGCCCCAGGTCTGATCATGAAAGCTCAGCGGCATCTGGGTGACATTGGCTGTGATTTTGTGCCTGAAACATAAAGGGACACAGATGCAGGGAATCACCTGCTGAGCCATTCCAGGCAGAAGGTGGCAAACTGGTCAACTGCCTTTTGATCAGACATACCTGAACCCAAAAACACAAAATATATTGAGCTTAAAGAACCACTTCTATAATCCTTAGCTTAGCCCTGGATCCCTCATTTAACCCCTCTGGCAGTGCTGGACCATTCCATAACCCCTTCTGAATCCTCCACCTAAAGCCCCCCTTGTGCCCAATGCTCCACACAGCAGCAGCTGCCAGCACGTGGCTGCCCAGGATTAATTTCTGTACACACGCCAATGGCTGAGCCTTGTGCCTCCAGAACAGCCTGCATTATTACTTTTTTTTTTCTCCTATTCCCTTTGAATTGTTTCATTCTGAGATAATAATAATAAAAGAAAATAATAAAAGAAACAGAGCGCTGAGCAGCTAACTGAGGATTGATGAGTTCTGATCCTCTGCCAATGAGATGAAAAAG